ACTATAAGGTTTATTAGCGACTTTACTCTTATCGTCGACGGTACCTTTAATACCAACAAGTTAAAAATGCCTCTCCTTATCGCTGTCAGTTAATTAAATAGTACTAAAACCTTCCTAATCACCTTTTCCTATTGTCCTAAGGAGGATAAGGCGTTATACGGCTTTTTCTAGCGATGCCTAAAGAATCACTGCTTTAGGAGACCTTTTCAGCCCTCCTACGCCTACCCGCAAGTCGTTATTGGCGACTAAAATGTAGGCCTTACTGCGTCGATTCCGAAGGCCTTTCCGGAGGCGGAACAACAACTTTATGACTGGCACGCCGTCGAGTTAATGGTGAAAAAGACGCGTGATTTAGGCAAGACAACGAATGAAATAAAGGAGGTTTTTAGGCGCAAGTACTGGGTATATATATAGTTAATGACGACGGAGGCCCTCTGTGACGGCTCGTACAAGACGCAGGAAATCCAACTTGTAGACAGCTCTATTATTCAGGAGACTAAACTGAGGAGAAGAAGAGAAGAGGATCGCTGTCGGAGACAGCGATCTATGTACACAGATGCCATCGAAACGAGGCTACGCTAGGACAGGCTTGTAGGTGGCTGGGAATGCGCCAACACGAGGCTGGGAGAGATTCCATCCAATAGTTCCCAATCGTCACACCCTCGAAGCTAATAGACGTGATTTAGGCGATTCCGTAGGCCCTTTATTCATGAAATACCTCCAGGAGACTTGGATACTAAAAGAGCAAAAGGCAGTGTATCTATATACCTCTAAGTACGCTAACTTAGGCTCCTCATCAAGTTAAAGGAGTGAGTCTTATCACGATACCGTAACGTAATTAGTAAATACGCAATTATTACTAAAAGACTCTACCGTACGCCTCATTACCAAAGTCGAGTTAATTATTAAGGATATCGCCTAGGACGAGGCTAGTTCCGAGGCTAGTTATTCACGACTTGCGTAAGTAAACGTCTTCCGAGAGATCCGCATAAGAGTATTAAAATTCGCGATTTTACGCCTTAAATAGGAGTGGACGGTAGTCTATAAGGGACTAAGAAGAGGCGGGGACCTTACAATACCTCCTAACGGTTATAACTGCGAGACTCTACTACGATTTGGTATAGCCTGCTAGTACTACCTTAAAATGGCCTATGATGAGGAGTTACAACTGCTAAAAACCTTAGTGCACCGGCGCTGGTGGCTAAATAGGCCGAATATTTATGATACTGACTGGATAATATTTTATCCTACTCCTAAGTTAATCCCTGCGGCTCTAGCAGCGGAAGTTGAGCCCTCAGTGATAGCATAGCTAGTAGCGCTTAGGGGACTCCTGTCCGATGAGGAAAGGCATAAGTTCGACGTTGAATCTGCTCGATTAGAGCGTTAGATTACGATCTTTCAGGAGATATCGAGTAGGAGCCTCCTACGCGCCACCGAAAGAGCCTATCAAATGTAATAAATGCCTTACAACTAGCCGGATGCTCGTCGGCAGAGCTACTTTGCTCGCCGCAGTGCTTATGGACTCGCTAACTAGCGAGCCTTAATATCCAATGAGCTAGCTAAACGGCGGGAGCGAAATACTTATTTTCAGTAGCTCCAGCTTAGCCGACAACAGGAAACGCAGTTACGGGAGCACTTAATGGACTAAGCATTAGACCGTACCGTAACCGAGCAAAGACCATTTGAAGAGGGGGAAGATACTATAGAGTTTATTAGGCTAAGGACCCCTGAGAACATCCCTGATAACCCTAGGAGCATCGAGAGCAGCCCAGGGAGTACTCCTAGGGCGCAGGTAATAGTGATTTTGCCTATCCGCACGCTAGAGAGGTCCCGGCTGCGACGGTCGCCGTCTCCAGAGGCGTCTCCCACTCTAATTATGCCTATAGAGCCTCCTGCCTCAACGGCGCCGGCAGCACTTAGTAGGCCCAAGAGACGCAGGAACCACACGGCTAAATTTACAGCGGGGCGCCAGCAGGGCTCCATTCCTGAGTCTCAGGACCGTCAGTAAGGCCGGATAAATGATAATTTAGGGGCCGGCGCCGACGAGGCTTTATCAAACCTCAGCCTCGTCGATGGCGGCCTCATAATCATAATGGCTACGGTGTGGTTGACAAAGGACTGACGTGCAATCAAGAACAATTCCCTTACTAATTGGCAGTGAAATGATTGGCTAAACATGGCTTGGTAGAGAATAGCTCTTGGCAGAATAGCTCGACAGAATAGCCCCGGAGTCAGTCCCGTCCCTGTGGCGCCGTCTCGGCTGGACAGCGCCGGCGCAAGTTCGTGCGCCCTTAACCCATTGGCATGTTATATTGCTTGAAGGGGGACGCGGAGATTTTGGGATTTTCTCTGCCGGGCAATTCGCCTCTTCTTCTGATTCGGGCTAGGTTTCCCTGAAGCCATGCTCGTCCTCTTCCTCCCGGATCCCGACGGTGAGGTCGTCAGCACTTTTCCCTGGGGTACGCGATACATGTTAAGATTGAAGGGAGGGTTCGCCGCACGTGACGCGTCTCCCTCGACGTATCTGTGCATAGTTCAGTTCTATTTACGTGACTCGCACAGAAACAAATTTTGGCCTGCGAGTTTCAATCAGTTGAATTGGTTTACATCAAGCCAGAAACACACAAGCGAAATTAAAATGGCTCCTATCAAGGATCTTGCAAGCGGGACTGCAGTGGTGCGTGTTATGTACTTCTTTTGCCCTGACCTCGTGGTGGTCTCCTCAGTACTGACGATGGATTTGGTATGACGTGGTACAGTATGGTAAGGGCGCAGGGTCCAGAAGACAAAAGCACTCAAGATGTCGACCACTCCTTTCAGGCTATATTGTTTGTACCTCCCAACACAGAATTCCTTTGATATTCCGTGCCTATGGCGACTCTCCGCCGCACCCACCCTCAGGTGTTGGCACGACGACTCTTGGGCAACTGGGGCGATTTCTTGATTCCGTCGATGGTGGAGGTGACGAGCTTGAGAGTTCTGCGGGCTTCCTCGTATCGTCCTAACTTCTGGGACAGCTCTCGGAAGACATCAAGACATCGGATGGCGATGAGATGAGCGTCGACGGGCGCCAACACCCTCCATCGGCCGATGGCGTTGCTGACTTCCCGCCAGGATTCTGGAAGGAGGTCACACTGCAGCAATGCCAGCGAGCTGGAACACAACGCGGCGCAGACTTCGTGACACCCTTCGCCGATGATCGCCTCGAACACGTCGGCAAGCGTGCGAAAACCGGCCGCCGCCTCCGCGAATCGCCCTCTATCCATCATCCCTTGCACCAGGGTCCGTTGGAGAGAGACGGTGTCTGGGTGGAAATGGCCGAGATGATCCCGAAAGAAATCATGTAGTCCCCGTAGAATCATCTCCGCCAATTCATTAGGCCAGACGGGAGATCGTTTTAACCAGCGGATCAGGGGAGGAATTATGGGGCACGTCGAGGGAGAAGCAGCCTGCCCAACGGGACCTTCCAAATCCGCGACAATGACCCACGCCTCCACCCCGACCTTCCCCATGATGCGACCGAGCAATGAAATCCCAGAACCGACAACGGGATCCGCTCCTCCAAGACCTCTCAAAGGGAGTATCAAATCACCGGCAGAGATGCCATGGCGACGCAAAAGCGACGCATGGTATTCCTTTGCCTCCCGGAGGATGCCGTCGAGACGCGCTTGTTGGGCCTCGGAGAGATGCGACGGACGCGCACTCAGACGGATAGCCGGGTGTGGGACCTGTGGCCTCACCGGCCACTGTTCTACGCGCAGGGCGAGACGAAGAGTCTCCATGTAAGTGGCAATGACGGTGTAGAGATGCTGACCTTGAGATATGACCGTCTCACGAGGCATGGACTCGAGAGCGTCGCGAAGCTCAGCATCGAAATCCGTGGCAAGCATGTTGTTGATCCGGCCCGCCCTGGACCTTGAGTTGAGCGACGATCGAGCATAGAATCTTAGGATATCTCCCCAAAATCCTCGGTTGGCCTTGGGTTCAGCATCTCTGGAGCTCCTTGATATAGTTAGCCCCCGCTCGTGACATTACATACGACGGGAATAGACCGACAATTTCTGTAATCACCGCCAAAACACGAGTCCTTTTCTCGTCCAAATTCCTCCCACGATCCATAGTCCAACGGGCACCGCCAAGGTCCGGGCAGGCAATGTGGATTGCTACGTACAATACACATAGATTTTTTTTTCGGGGATCTTTCCGTACTGTATATTGGATCGAACAACCTAGGGTTGGATAACTGTGCAGTACGGCTGACTGGGCCCCTGCCACTGACTTCTATTGGCCCTGCGCGGCCCGTCGTCTGCTGACCACTCCTACACCAATCACGAGTTCAACGCTAGGTCATGGACCAATTACCTGGGCGCGGCCATCGTACCACTCAGCACTCCTCATTCTCATCTTTGTTTCTACACGACGCGGTTGAATGGCCTCTCGGCCAATATCCCTCCAGGACGGCCAGCTAACTTGACTTGACTCATTACCCTAGCCTCTCCCGCTTTGGGATATGCAGTCTGCGCACAACTTCCAACAGCAAATGATTCGAGTCTCGGCGGTGAATTGGTGTTTGGAGGATAAGGGAAAATGTGGTATCCTTGGCGGCTGCATTGCCCCTACTGGCCGGCTCATCGCGCGGAAGTCTTCTCCACTCGCATTTGATGGGTGTCTCTCAAACCCCTCCAGTGCTCGTCGGATTTCTCTCCACATCTCAGGTCTCATTTCTCTGGTTGTTGAAATGTATTTTCGTCACGAGCGACGGTAAAGCTCGGTAAACCGGGCTAATTTACTATATCTCGCCGTATTTGAACCATTAACTACAGTACTCTTTTCCGAGGACGATGCCATGAGAAGGTCCTTGAACCCGTGCGGGTTTCTTGCATTCGGTCACATCACTCGATCTCCATTTTCGTGTAAACAACGGAAGAACAACGTGGTTCGAGTCCCTCTTACCTGCGCCTCTCATTTCTGGCGCTATAAATTATCGGACCTAGGAAAAGACGTCTGGGCTATCAAACAATGGATGCCGGGCAAGTTACTACTATAACGCGAGCAGCTGAAAAGTCTCATCAACACTAAAGCCACCAGCTGTACAGTACAGTAACTCCGGGTTGTCGTCTCCTTTTTGTCTTTTTGGCGGACGCTCGTTTTGGTAGCTGGCCTTCTATTTATACGTATATCTCGCACAAAGTCTAGCCGCTTTGCTGCTTGATTGTAGTTTAAATCGATCCTCGCAGCGGAACATCCGTCACCAACTTGTGAACGATTTCGGCCAATGTGACCATGATGCTCACCGGGAACCAGTGGGTGGACCACATCATGTCTCACGGCGTGGAGAGCATGGTGTTCGGGTGCAATATGACGCTCCTGCAGAGCGCGCCCGCGGTGGCGAAGCAGGTGTTTTCCGGAAGCTGGAGGAACGGGGCCCTGGCCGTGACCTCGCTGATGCTGACTCTCGGACTGGTATGGACGTCGAAGCCTAGGGCGCTCAAGATCGCGTGGAATGGGAAACCACGTCGAAGGAGGCGCAGACGCGGCCTGGGGAAGCAGGGTGACGCTGCGAGCGAACGGTGTGCTGCCGGGCCTCCACGGACAGAGTCAACTCCAAGGGCGATACGATCACTGGGATGGACGTGGATCCGGCAGCTCCTGGGATGGCTTTGGGCAGCATTTCGGTCGACACTAGTCTCACGGACCATAAAACGAGGGCATCCATCAGAACACACCTCAAATAATGAATATGGAAAGAACATGGACGGAGCCCACAGGGCTCCGAGCTAGCTGTCCGCAACCAGGACGCCTTATCAAAAATTGGAACCATGAATGGGGTTCTGGTTATGTACAATGTCATCCGAGATATTCCAGGATAAAAAGTGTCTATACAGTAAACCACCCATCCATCTGGCTCATTCAATGTTTTTCGTCCTGGCTTATCCAGCATGGTCGGCCCGTCGCTCCCATCTCGCCTTTCCCTCTTCCCTTTTTGTCCCCCCCGCGCGAATGGCCGGTGATAGGACAAAGCTAATTCTCCGTCGGCAGATTCGACCAGGCCACTCGCTCATAAATTTAGGGGCGCATACTAATTTATAGTCCTAGAAGTGCGCCACCAAGATTTTTGCGGGTCATCGGCGCGTTTTGACGCACCCCGCGTAATATGGCACTCATCATTTCTCCCTGGGGAACGGAACCTGCCATTGATATTAGATCCTAGATAGACACGCCGCGGTTAGCACAATTCCTCTCACAACGCCCAAGACGCTGCCCCGTGTTAGCTAAACACGTCCCACCAGAGCGAGTTAAATAATGCAGTATCATATTATATTTATGGACCTCTAACGGAAAAGTAAAGTCTCATAAGTGTATTTATCAACGATCCTTCATCTCCTATTAGCCTCCAGGTGTGACACCTTCTGTGCGTGGTGGAGAATGGTTGGTCTAGATGACCGGGGGTGGGGGGGGAAGGGGCGCGCTAGATTTGTTTCCCACTGTGACAAGCCCATCATTTCTATATATATCCCGATCGTACATTGGCGATGGCGGCACGGCCTGACGATTTGGCCTAGAGCAGTGAGCGCACCTGGGAAGCCCTACCCGGGTTCACGCTTCTTTCTTCCCTCCTGGAATGGTATGCACAACGCTGGCACGGCTGACGTACGCCACCTCTGCCGTTTGCTCGGATGTTGCAAGCTCCGGTTGCTTCTCGTCCTTCACTTCGTCCTCGTCGGAGCTCCCGTCGCTGAACCTGGAGATTTCATTGTTGATCGGGATACCTTCACATCTGGTGCAACCAGCGGGGAGGAGGACATCACTTCGCCCACATTCGGCGAACGTCCTAACCCCTCCTTCTCTGAGGTCAATAATCTCACGATCGACCCAAACCGGATCAAGAGCAACGAGGACTTGGTCAACTCCGTATCTCTTCCGGGAGTTTAGGATGTGGGTGTAGCGCAGCACTGTCCGTGGCGCCGTCCGCAAGAGTGATGCTTGTCGCAAATTCGAGGTTGCGGAACAGCGTCGGATCATTGCTGTATCCTTCTTGATGAACGAGATCCGTCGGCAACGAACAAGAGCTTGCTGGTGGTGTGAGGATTTGGAACCGGGGCATGTACAGCGTGGGAAAATTCCATGGGATGGTCGAGAATTTCGAGATATACTGCGTCACACTTATTAGAATGGTTATGTGCCCTCCCTAGATAGGTCGTGTGGCCTCTCCATTCAGCATGATCTTACTGGATGCCGTGGCTCGTCTCGGTAATCTAAATGGTATCTGGAAATACCGGCTCGTAAAGAATGAAACCTTCCGGCTAACCGGATGCCTTCCTTCACTTGATTTGGAGGCATTGGCTACGGGTTTCATATGATTGGTTCCGTGCATTACCTTCCTGTACTGTCCTCACCCAATTCGAGCAGCCTAGACCAACGAGGCCAATGGTCCGATGATTGGCCTGATGTCGCTATACCACTTCTCTGCGAGGCCATTAGTGGGGAAGCACTAACTTAAATTACTGTTTGGAATGGAAAGTGCCCGGCTGAATTGAGCCCTCGGTCACCTGCAACAGCTGAGGGATTAGCTTGGTTCGCCTCTTGACAGCAAGGGGCTTTGAATTCACCCCTTGCACCGCATTTCCTCCTCTTTCGGATCGATATGGTTGAGATGAGGTTGAAGGGTAAATTAATTCACAGTATCTGCGTCTGGATGAATTGAGTGATTCGGTGGGATGCTACGGTAACCGGCCTTGATCTCTTGCTCTTTGCCAAGGCCCTTTCCCTCTTCCCTCATGGCGCTCCTCTTGCTTATACGACTAAGCGCGCAGAGCCCCAGTGCTGTACGTACAATGCTTATGTACACACAAAATGGGCCTTTTAAACCGGATCTTCCTTTTTGGAAACACCTGGATATAACTTAACACACAAGATGATTGACGCTGGAGGTTTACGAATATCTGGCATCGCCCGCAGCCTGTCTTCTCTTGAGCTATGGGCGTATTCCTCTCTAGGCAAGCTTCACACAAGCATCCAAGCACCTAAACCCAAATCATACACAGGACGGACGTTGACGACCGCATGGACATTTTATGGCCGCTCACCACCACCACCACCACCACCACCA